AGGTATATACAGTGGACCTTTGGTATCTACTGGGTTTTGATTCATGGTTCCACCATGGATACCAAAATCTATGGATGCTCAAGTCCTATTACATACAATGATTTAGTAAAATGGTGTCTCTAATATAAAATGACAAAACCAAGAAAACCTTTCAGAATTTATGTAGTTTTAAAATATTTTCAAGCCATGGATGGTAGAGTCCGTGGATAAAGGATCCATGGATAAGGAGAGCCAACTGTAGAAAAAATTAATACACATTCTAATATCACTTTTATTTTGTTGTTGCTGTGTGCCTTCAAGTTATTTCCAATTTAAGACGATCCTATTATGGCATTTTAAGTTTGTTTTTTGTGGGGGATTTTTGGACAAGATTTCTTCAGTGGGAGTTTGCCTTTGCCTTCCTCTGAGGCTGAGAGTGTGTGACTTGTGCAAGATGGGTTTCCATGGCTGAGTGGGGATTCAAACCCTGGTTGCCAGAGTTGCACTTCAGTCCTCAAACCACTGCACCATGTTGTCTCCCTCTCTTTTTATTTTATGTATGTCCCACCTTTTGTTGAGTGCAGGACTCAAAGTCACTTACAACATGAATCAAAAAAAGACACAACTGGAAACCAATAAGATATAACATGGAAGAGCAGTTAACAATGAAATAATGTAGCATATTAAAAGCAAGCACTTGGTTAAGACATTTTGGTAATAAATCTAACCTAATACACATTAGCTAAAAGGTACTGATTGGTACCTGCCTTCCCCCACCCAAATCCAATTCCCCTTCCCCACAGCTGTTTTAAAAGCTTAAAACACTTCGGAAATCCAAATGCTCCGTCTAGCTAGCCCATAATCTGACCATATCCATCAGGATTTGGTCTAACCAAAAATTAAGTCCCTTTAAGTTCAATAGGGCTTATTTAAAATAAGTGGATATTTCAGTATACATACTCCTTCCCAGTTTATGCATCTGAATTTAGAAAAGTTCCCAGACAAAAGAATCTGTGATGAAGTTTCCAAAGTTTTGTCCCACTGGGCATAAACTGGTCAAATCACATCATTTTAAATATATACAGAGAGAGAGAGAGTGTCACCATAAGTCAAAAATGACTTGTAGGCACACAACAACTCTCTCTGTATATACAGAGTTATTGTGTGCCTGCAAGTCATTTTTGACATATGGTGACTCTCTCTCTCTCTCTTTAAAATGATGGGATTTGACCAGCTTAGAGAGAGAGAGAGTTGTTGTGTGCCTACAAGTCATTTTTGACATGGTGACTCTAAGGCAAGATTCTCCAGAGAGGGTTTTCTATCCTCTGAGACTGAGAGATTGTAATTTACCCAAGGTCACCCATTAGTTTTTTATACATGAATGGACAACTGAAACCTGATCTCCAGAGTTGTAATCCAACACTGAAACCACTACACATCTCTCTCTCTTGCCTGGCAGAATTGTTTAGGGTGGGGGGGGGGGAGTTGACTAAGGTTCCTCCTGTGCCAACCCCCCTACTTAACCCTATGACAGCCTGCTGTGAAGCATTTAATATCTACTTTGCTGATAAAATCTCTCGGATAAGAGCCGACTTGGACGCCATTGTTTTGACAGAATCCGTAGGCGAGGTATCCAGGAGCTCCGTTGATGGCATTTTACTGGATTATTTCCAATCTGTGAGTACCGATGACGTGGACAAGCTACTTGGAAGGATGAGGAAGACGACTTGCCCCCTCGATCCTTGTCCATCTTGGCTGGTCGTCCAGGGGTGTGGCGCGCTGAGGGTGTTCCTTCGGGACACAATCAATGCGTCACTTAGGGAGGGTAATGTACCATCTTGTTTAAAGGAGGCGGCGGTTAGGCCGCTCCTGAAAAAACCTTCCCTGGACCCCCTGGATAGAAATAGCTATCGACCAGTATTCTTGCTCCCTTTTTTGAGCAAGGTGATCGAGAGGGCAGTTGCTTCCCAACTCCAAGCAGTCTTGGCTGAAACCGATTATCTTGATCCATTTCAAACCGGCTTCATGACAGGATTTGGAGTGGAGACTGCCATGGTTGCTCTGATCGATGACCTCCACCTGAGTATCGACAGGGGTAGTGTGACCCTGTTGGTGCTCCTGGATCTCTCAGTGGCCTTTGATACCATAGACCATGCCATCCTCTTGAATCGCCTGAGAGAGTTGGGAATCAGAGGCACTGCCTTGCAGTGGTTCCGTTCCTTCCTTTCGGGCAGATCCC